GTGTGCCGCCTCCTTGGGATTCTTTCTCTCCCTCTCTCTCTGCCCCTACCCCACTTGTGTGGGACGGCTCTCTCTCTCTCTCAATAAATAAACGTTGTTTAAAAAAAGAAATAAGACATATAGGTACATATTATAATTATATTTCACATAAAATCGAAGTCCTCTGTGGATCTCTGCCTAGGTCACGATTTCCCACCATGTTCCCTTAACCACGGAGATAGAACAAATCTGCTCCCGACAGCCAGGAGCCAGCCTGGCGCTCACAGCCAGGCTGTGGTGTTCCATTGGGACTCAAACACCTCTATGGAACACTGTCTGGTGGCCCACTCTGACTGTGACACAGCAATCCCCAAACAAGACCCCCCATAATCATGTCTGAGCACAGAACACTGTCCAACCTGTAAAAATGACCAAACATCCCCAGTCTCTGGCTAATGCGAGGGACTGCTGCTTCTTTATCAATGACGGCTTTGGCCTCTCTGTCACACCCACCTTCTAGATAAAAAATGATTGAGATACCCAACTAGAGAATTAGGCCTGCTTCCTGACAGCATCCAATCCAGAGCAACACCCCACTTCCTGGAATTTGCTCCAGATCACCTGGCATAAGCCCAGTCCTATAATGGGTCCTTTCCAGTATCTTCTCACTGAGCCCACCGTGTGCCATGTAATGAGCTAAGTGACCCAACTTGACTAGACTGTCCCCGGGGGTCTCGGCTGGAGGGCATGCCTGTGCACGTTCTCCTTCCCTTTATTTACTGTGGTAGTAGACACATAACATAAAACTTAGCATTTGAATCATTTCTAAGAGTATGGTTCAGTGGCATTAAGTATATTGTATGCATATCTTTTATACTTTTACGACCTAAGTACATACTCCCCAAAATATATGTAAACTAGTGACCTGCACAGTTTAAAAAAAAAAATTTTTTTTTGCTGTTTATTTATTTTTGAGACAGAGAGAGACATAGCATGAACGGAGGAGGGATAGAGAGAGAGAGAGAGACCCAGAATCCGAAGCAGGCTCCAGGCTCTGAGCTGTCGGCACAGAGCCCGACGCAGGGCTCAAACTCACAATCTGTGAGATCATGACCTGAGCCGAAGTCGGACGCTCAACCGAATGAGCCACCCAGGCGCCCCACCTGCACAGTTTTTTTCAAGTTTATTTGTTTACTTTGAGAGAAACAGAGACAGTGCGAGTGGGGGAGGGGCAGAGAGAGGGGGAGAGAGAATCCCAAGCAGGCTCCCACTGCCAGCACACAGCCCAATGCAGGGCTTGATCCCACAAAGCCATGAGATCATGACCTGAGTCCAAACCAAGAGTGGGATGCTTAACCGACTGAGCCACCCAGGCGCCCCAACCTGCAATTTTTTTAATTAAAATATTTAAGTAGGGGCACCTGGGTGGCTCAGTCGGTTAAGTGTCTGACTTCAGCTCAGGGCATGATCTCACGGCTTGTGAGTTCGAGCCCCGTGTGGGGCTCTGTGCCTACCGCTCAGAGCCTGGAGCCTGCTTCAGATTCTGTGTGTGTGTGTGTGTGTGTGTGTGTGTGTGTGTGTGTGTGTGTGTCTGCCCCTCCCCACTCATGCTCTGTCTCTCTCAAAAATAAACATTAAAAAAAATAAATAAAAATAAAATACTTAAGAAATCTCTACACCCGACATAGGGCTCGAACTCAGGACCCCAAGATCAAGAGTCGCATGCACTTCTGAGCCGGCCAGGCGCCCCTGCAGTTGTAAACTTTAGAAAATATGTCACATTGATATAGTCTACATCTCACTTTTTTCTGTACAACATTATTTTCAGGTATTGTTTACATAAAGTAATATATGCTCATTACAAAAAGTCATAGAATAGAATAAAAGTATGCGCCATAAACAATGGAAGCCCTTCTGTTCATTCCCCTCTCCTAAACTCAATCTCTCTCCCAGGTAGTACTTCAAGATGTAACCTTTCAGCATATTCTATGCATATCTGAACACATATATGTATATACGCATAACACACACTTTTATCCAAGTAGATTTCAATTATTTGAATTGCTCCGCAATTTGCTTTTATCACTTCATATATCTTAGGCACCTTTCATTTCATATCACATTTGATGATATTTATTGAGACCTGTTACATTATTTTTAATGTTTATTTTTGAGAGAGAGAGAGAGAGAGAGAGAGAGAGAGAGAGAGAGAACACAAGCAGGGGATAGGCAGAGAGAGAGGGAGATACAGAATCTGAAGCAGGCTCCAGGCTCTGAGTTGTCAGCACAGAGCTGACATGGGGCTCGAACTCATGAACTGTGAGATCACCGGAGCCGAAGTCGGATGCCTAACCAACTGAGCCACCCAGGTGCCCCTGTTACATAATTTTTAACGTATGCAAACAATTTGGAAGAACTCTCAGATGGAGTTTTTTGCATGTTTCATCTGCCGCCTACCTTTGTCTCCTGTTTTGGTGTATATCTTGGGAATCTTGGGTGTCTTCAAGGAAGGCTGTGGCCTAATGAGACACAGACATCAAGAAGTGGAGAGTGGGCATGACACCTCCTTCAGTGGGTCACATCTTGCCCAGTAACCTCAGAGGCAGCACTTTCCCCTCCTCTGTTTGGATCTCATGTTGGCATCATTTTCCTCCCTTCTTCCCAATTCAGTCCGTTGTGGGCAAGCTCTGTGTCCTGCCCACATCCATTATCTGCAGAGTAGCTCATGTAGTGCACTGCTCAATGCACATGCTCAATAAATATTCACTGAAAGAGTTTATTGATCACTTTCCATAGTCTCTGCACTGTGCTAAGTGGATTACTGGCATTATCTCCTGGAATTATCCCATAGGCACTACCGGTGACCTTCCTTTTACTGTTGAGGAAATTGGAGCTCACAAGATGAGACTCCAGGTCCCTGAGGAAGGAAGACACAGGGCTGGGATTCCTGCCCAAGACTACCTTACTCCAGACCCCAGTCACCTTTTACCCGACAGAAACCGTTACTTTGACCCACCCAAACTCTTATCCTCTACTCTACCCAGTCAGGGCTGCTTGGAGAAAGTAATCTGGGCCATTTCCCTTCTATGAAGCTTCACATATACTCAGGAATGAAGACCTGGCAAAACAGCGTTCTAATTCTGGCATTTTCAAATAGCAACATAACACCTTTAATGCAGGCTTTGACACGAACATGTGGCATCACGAGGTGATCCAAACGTTCAATTACTGGATCTAGGAGAGTATATCGATCCATGATAAATTCATGGGACTACGCGGGTTCGGAGGTCTGGGAAGGGGAGCAAGTTTCAAGGTCGGTGAGGACGGCCACCTTCAGATCGTGTTGGTGTATTTCTGTGTCTTAGGAAATAGGTCAAAATCTGAATTGAGGCCCACCCGACGGTGAGGCGGGGCAAGACGGCCCTCGTGGCGGGCCAGGGACGTGCCCTGCCCCGACGCACGACAGCCGGGCTTCGTTCGGACTTGTGCAAAGAAATCTTGGGTCTCTGGCTGCCACGGTGCTCACGTGGCCACGGTGACGTCAGGATTAAGACGTGTCACCTGGCTGTTGCTGCGGCGACCTCACTGCGGTGTGACGTCACCATGGCGACGACACCACAATTCACGGCAGGTGTCCGAGTTACCCTCCCCAGCCAGGCACTCACCCGTCCCCGTCTTCCACGCCCTGGGGGCCGCGGCTCTGGAAACGGGGACACAGCAGCCCGCCGGCGCCGAGGCCCCCGCGCAGGCCAAGGCGGGCTCCCAGTCCCCACACAGCCATGCGCCAGGCAGCTCGTCAGGGGCTGACCCCGCCAGGCTCCCGTCCAGGTCGCGGGCGACTCCACCTACCTCCTGGCGCATCACCGTTCAGCCCCCATTTTCCATTGGCTCTTGGCTCTCGGCCCAGGGCGGGACACTCCCAGGGGCTTGCTTCCCATTGGTTCGCGGAGGGGGCTGCCGGACAGCTTGGTTGCGACACCTATTGGCCAATCTTCAAGCCAATCGGTAAAGGAACGCCCAGTTTGCGTGTTCTGATTGGCTGAGCGGAAGGGTGAACCCCTGTTGGGGTGGCGCCCGGGAGGACTTGGTCCCCGAGCAGCTCTGGCTTTCGCTCACCGGTCCCGCCGAGGCAGGTGAGCGCCTGGGCTCACGGGGCCGGGGGCGCGAGGTTTGAGGCTGAGACTTTGGGCCGGGCTCCCGGCTTCTCTGGCTTGGTTTCTCCGACTCTGAGAATCCGTCCCGAGCGGTTGGTGAGCTCGAATCTGAAGGGATTTGGAGCTTTGGGCAAGCAGTAGGTCTCCCGGTTCCGAGCCTCACTTTCCCCCGCTAAGAAAGGGGATCACGATGGCACTTAGCTCATAGTGCGGCTCAGGTCTTATCATATGGAGGTAATTGAGGCCTTAAATGGATGGTAATTTTTTATTATTTCTAGAAAATCTAAAATGCGCACACCTGTAGACCCAGCAAGTCACTTTCTAGGACTCTGTGTTGTAGAGATCCTCGGTTAAGCGTGCATGCAGGAAGGGGCTTGACATCTGTTTTCTGCAGCCTACAATTTATAGTCGTGACGTATTGGAAACAGCCTAAAAGTCCAGGAAAGCTTTCCTCCTACTCCATGATTTCATTTAAATTTCTACCCTCAATAGTAGTAATAATAAAAGCTGGGACCGACGCTGCCAAGTGGTCCTCTTGTACTATTTAACTTAAGCTTTCCAAAACCCATTGAGGTAAGTACAGTTCTTGTCCGAATATAACATAGGACGGAACCAAGGTTTTTAGCCATTTGAGTGAGTTAGAGACAGTGACCTCACTGGGGAGCAGAAGAGCTGGGATTTGAACCCAGGTCTTTCTGATGTGCCTAGTGGACTGCGCAGTCTTTGGGGGCACATAGGAAGTGCTGGATGGTAGCTGCCTTTTTCGTTAGAATGATGAGTTTGAAGTGGGTATTCTCTAATATCTCTGAGATCTGGGGATGTCTCATCCTCTCTCTGGCTTTTTCTTTCAGAATTCCCAGGAGCTAGCTATGTTGTCAGAAGTCCTGCTGGTGTCTGCTCCAGGGAAAGTCATTCTTCATGGAGAGCATGCTGTGGTCCATGGCAAGGTAAAGGCCCCCAGAGTCTTTGAGAATTGGGCACCTCTTCTCCCTGACCCTAATCTTAAACTGAAAAGAAGTCTTGAGGCATAGCCTAGGGGTATATAAGAGAGGAGGTCAGTTTTTCCCCGGCGAGGCAGGGAAAAGACAGCTTACCCCCACTGAAGGGCTCCTCTGGCCTCAGTAAGGTAGCACAAAGCTGAAAGGTAAAGCTGTGCAGGTGGAATGAGGCGACCTGGAAAGTGGGCTTCGGTGGAGAAGAAAAGGAGTGGGAGCACTGAGCCCTGGGGCACCCCGACATTCAGAAATGGGGAAAATGTGTAGGATCCAGCAGACGAGTTTGAAACATGCATTATCTCATTTAAGTCTGAGGACTGCCCTCCGAGGTTAAACTTTTATTATCCTATTTTGCAGATGGGGAAGCTGAGGCTTAGGAGAGGATTGGTCGCTTGACCAAGGTCCCGTACACCTGGGTAGAACCGGGAATGAACCTCCGTCTGTCTGAACCCACAGCTCATGCTTTCTCCATTCCGTCACTCTTCATGTTCTTAACTTACGTTTGTTTGGATGACATGGTGATGATGGGGAAGCCATTCCTTGGTCTGGAGGACCTCTGAAGTTTTGCATGGAGAGGGCAAACAGAAGTTGATGCTAACTCCGAATTGATTGGTAGTGCCGGTGCCACCTAGTGGGAGAGCATGCCAAGGTTGATCGGCAGTGTCTGCCAAAGGCATGAGTGGGCGTGCCCTGCGTGCCAGTATTTGCTGTCTCTCCTCAGCACATTGACACTAAGCCCTGTTTCTAAGACTGGAGCCATACTCTTTGCCACCCATGCTCAGGCTCATTGCTTTTGCCCTTTATCCTACAGGTAGCGCTGGCGGTGGCCGTGAACTTAAGAACATTCCTCCGGCTTCAGCCCCACAGCAATGGGAAAGTGTGCCTCGACCTACCGAACATTGGCATCAAGCGGGTCTGGGATGTGGCCAGGCTTCAGCTACAGGACACGAGCTTTCTGGGTAAGTGCAGCGAGCAGGAACCAGGTGTGGGAAGAGCCGGGGTCCTGAACAGAGGGGAAACACATGGCTGGGTAGTTATTCCAGGCTATCCCTGAGGGGCCCGGAGACTGGCCACTCTGGGGGTGTTTTTTCTCTTGAGCCATAAAATTAGCTTCGCTTATTTATTTTATTTTATTTTTAATTTTTTAATGTTTATTTATTTTT